AAAAAAAAAAAAAAAACGACTTGGGGGCGAAGGTTGCATGCTTGTGGTGGTTCTTGTCTAGTCTGAAGGGCTTAGAGCTTGGGTAAGGGTTGAACGAGATCAGGGGCCAGTGATTTAGGGTACAGGTTTGATTGATGGGTGAGGTTATAGGTGTTGGGCTGTTTGGGAACCAGCATTTGTGATGCTGGCAGTTCATCTATTGCCAGCAGCGCCTACTATAAAGAGCATAAGTGGTACTAACGGTAAGAATGGCGGTATTTTTTGGTATACTGGTATACTGTGGGTTCGGCCCCAACCACTAACAATGGTATACGAGGCGTGTATAGAAGCTAATAAAATTACCATTGTCCTTGTGGTCACTACTCATCGGTGGGGACCCAGCCTAAGGCCCTGAGGCTCTAGGTCAAGTATCCATCTTGGCTGCATTCCGCTGGAGCGATGTAGGATCCGTGCAAGAAAGGGGGACAGCTGCTGTTTTCTTGGCGTCACTGGGCATGGAGCTTGACATTTGGCTGCAGCAGAGTGCCGTGCCAGCAGGCCACTTTGACGGCCTCCACGCTTTTGCACGATGGCTATCGCCTAGAAGTCAACCTCAGGGACTTCTAAAGCGCCGGAGCAGCCAGGAGAAGAAACGGATGATTGGCAGGCTGCCTCGATCAGATCGCCCATTTCAGGGCGCTTTCACTTCGCACCTGAACCTCATGACTGGCCGCACCCGCTGGTCTTCAGACGCAGGGTTGCAACGGAGGGTCGACGACTCGCTTGAAGCGCACGCCGCCTCTGAGGCACCCCTGCTGCTGGCATTTCGCATGACTGAGCTTGACGTGGCTCACACTGTCTGCGTAAGGGGGTCAAATATCAGAAATATTCAGAAATCAACATCATGTACAACCATGACCCGAATAAGGACTCTAGAACGAAAGCCATACTCCATCCTTGAGCGAAACCCTTGGCAATCCTAAATTCTAATGTAGAGGCCCTTGGAACCACGTCAATGAGAAGATCTAGCCCTGTACTCTACAACCCTACTCAATTCCCTGAGGCAAGTCTCAAACTCTCAACCG